AAGCAATATTTTTTATAACAGGCTACTGGAGGACCATATACTGCACCCAAAAGTCACCTTTACAGGAAAATCAGTTAGGGGTTGGAGGTGCTTAATGGAAAACTCTTAAGTTACTAATGGTTGTTAATATAGGGAGCTCTGGCGGCCTGGTGCATAAGAGGTTGCATTACCAACCCAAAAGTTGTTGTTGTTGTTGTTATGTGCCGTCGAGTTGCCTGCAACTCACAGCAAACCTGTCTACAACAGCCCCCTACACCCTGGTCTGGTCTGTGCTAATCTTACTGTCTCTGACACACTAACACCCATTACCCCAGTCACTAAATCAATGCATCTCATTGAGGGTCTTATTTTCCTGCGCTGTCCCTCCACCCTCCCAAGCGTGATGTCCCTCTCGCAGGATTGGTCCTTCCCTGCAACATGTCCAAAGTATGTCAGACAAAGCTTCAGAATCCTTGCCTCCAAGTAGCAGCCTGGTTTAACCCTCTCCAGGATGAACCTGTTCATTCTCTTAGCAGTCTGTGGTATGTTCAACACTTTTCTCCAACACCACAGCTCAAAGACATCAATTCTCCTTTTATCATTCCTAGTCATTGTCCATCTCTCTGATGCATGCCAAGTGATTGCAAAGACCATGGCCTGCATCAGGCGCACCTTAGTCTCCAGACTGACATCTTTGCTCTTCAGTACTCTGGAGAGATCTCTGAAAGCAGACTTAGCCAACGCAGTACGTTTTTTAATTTCCTGGTTGCTGGTGCCAAGAGTGTTGATAGTGGAGCCAAGCAAATGAAAGCTGTTTACAATCTCAATCTCTTCATCATCCACCATGATTCTGCCAGTTGGCCCAGTGGTGAGAATCTTTGTTTTCTTGATATTAAGCTGGCAATTTAAGATTTACCAGCTGCTTTGTGGAAGAAGGATGGGCAGTCTCTTCTGGTACAATGTATAGCTTCTGAAAACCTACTAGAGGTTCAGCTTTGAATTCATTCCAACTTAATGGCATATTTCCACTAGCACAATAATGATTTAGAGAGCAACTGCTACCACTACTGATTATTTAAGCAAGTGCCATTTGAAACACGGGTTTCCTATGCTTCCTGAAATGTAATCCATGGTTTTCTTGAATTTTTCTACATCTAATTATGGCAGAACTCCGTGGTCTGCTCCAGTCACCTGGGCCTTCTGGCTGGTACTTTGAAGTAACCAAACATCCTCTTCTGCCAAGTCTTTGCATTTCTCTTGCTCTTCCTTCCAGATATCCATTTGGATAGGTCCTTCCATATTCTTACAACTCTGTTCACATGTCACCTGAGCAGGCCTGACACTATCTAACCCTTTTTACCCTGCTGTCATGAATTAAATTGTGCCCCCCAAAATATGTGTCAAGTTGGTTGGGCCATCAGTCTCAGTGGTTTGATAGTCATGAAATAAATATAACTTGGCTTCTATGTAAAGATGCACATTCCCATGATGCAAATTGATGTGATCAGTCAATCGATATCAAAACTCTGACCTAAAGAAGGGCCAGTTTCCCCCCAGAGTGTGGACTGCCTCACTCTTTATCTTTCAATATATGAGAGGGAGAAGCAAAGAGATAAGGAGAAATCTAACTTCCTCCCATGAAAGAGGAACGGGGCATATCATGTCTTTTTGATCTGAGATTCCTATGCTGAGACCTTACTACACCCGCGAGAAGGTGAATGTCAAGACTAGTAGTTCTTTAAGGAACTCTGGTCTCCAGTTACTGAAAGGAGACAAGGACCTTCCCCTAGAATCAACAAAGACAAAGCCTTCCTCTAGAGCTGGTGCTTTGAATTTAGACGTCTAGACTCCTAAACTGTAAGAGGGTAAGTTTCTACTTGTTAAGGCATCCCATTTGTGGTATTTCCATTATAGCAGTTCTGTTGTTGTTATGTGCCTGTAACTCTATGTGTAATAGCTCTGAAAACTGTCCTATCCTGAGTCAATCTCACTGTTTCCAACACACCTACCCCCACTGCCCCAGGCACTGTGTCAATCCATCTCATCCAGAGTCTCCCTCTCTTGTGCTGTCCATCCATCTTTCCAAGCATGATGTTCTTCTCTTAGGGACTGGTCCCTTCTGGCAATATGCCCAAAGTATGTTAGCTGGGGCTTCACGATCTTTGCCTCCAAAGAGCAACTTGGTTTCACCCTCTCTAAAACAAAACTGTTTATTCTCTTGGCAGTCCATGGTATGTTCAAGACTCTTCTCCAGCACCACAACTCAAAGGCATCCTTAGTCATTGTTCAGCTCTCTGATGTATAACAAGTAATTGAGAAGACCATGGCCTTGATAAGGCGCATCTTAGTCTCTAGCCTGACATCATTATTGCCTTTCAATACTCTGGAGAGGTCCCTAAAAGCAGACTTTCCCAGTGCAATTTGTCTTTTTTTTTAATTTTGTTTTTATTGTATTATTTTTATGTGTACCGTCAAATCAGATCTGACTGGTACAGGAGGAGATTGCCTCCTCCTTCTTCAGCAAAGTAGCTGGTGGATTTGAATCGCGTGCCTCTGGGATTGCAGTGCAGCATCTTGCCACCAGGCCACCAGAGCTCCCTCAATTTGTCTTTTGATTTTCTGACTGCTAGTGCCAAGAGTGTTGATTGTGGAGCCCTGCAAGCTGACATTGTTAAAAATCTCGGTCTCTTCCCTATTTATCGTGGAATTGCCAATTGATCCAGAGGTGAGAATCTTTGTTTTCTTGATGCTGAGCTCCAATTCATATTGAAGACTTCTGTCCTTCACCTTCTGCAGTAAAAATTTCAGGTGCTCTTCAGTTTCAGCCAGCAAGGTTGTGTTATCTGCATAATGCAGGTTGTTGATAAGTCTTCTTCCAATCCTTCTCATAAAGTCCAGCCTTCTGAATCATCTGTTCCATATATAGATTGAAAAAGTAAAGTGACCAGATAAATCCCTGATGCCCTTTCCTGATCTTGAACCATGCCGTGTTTCCTTATTTTGTTCTAACTGCTTCTTGTCCAAGTATATAGATTTTGCATGAGCATAACCAGGCGTTCTGAAATTCTCACTCTTCTCAAGAGGTTAGTCACAATTTGTTATGATCCACACAGTCAAATGCCTTGGCATATTCAATGAAACACAGATAGACATTTCCCCAGTGTTCTCTTTCATCCAAGATACAACTGACATTGACTATGATGACTCTAGTGCCACAGCCTCTTTTAAACCCAGCTTGTATTTCTGGTAGTTTTCTGTCTATGTACTGTTCCAGTCATTTTTGGATCATCTTTAGCAAGATTTTGCTTGAATGCACAATTAGCATTAATGTTCAAAATTTCCACATTCTGTTGGATCATATACTTTTTTGAAATGGGAATAAATATGGATCTCTGCCAGTCAGTTGGCGAGGGAATTGTCCTCCAGTTTTTTGGCATAACCTAGTGAGCATGTCCAGAGCAGCATCTGTTTGTTGAAATGAATCAATTTGTATTCCATCAATTCCTGGAGCCTTGTTTTTTTGCCAGTTCTTTCAGAGAGGCTTGCACTTCCTCCTTCATCACTGTTGCCTCTTGATCATATGTTGTTCCATTAAATTCTAGTATGTCGCCCGGCTATTTCTGGTACAATGAGTCTGTGTACTCCTTCCATCTTTATTTGATGCTTCCTGGGTCATTCAATATTATGCCCATAGCATCCTTATATATTACAACTTGAGGGTTGAATTTAGATATTTAATAATGTGGCACCAAAAATGGAGTGCTGTACTAACAGATACTTAATATGTGGAACCATTTTTAGAATTAAGTAATGAGTACAGGCTGGAGAATTTTTGGATACTAATGATATTAAAACTGTTATTAATTAATAGTATTAAAACTATTATTTTAAAACTAGTATCCAAAAGGTGCTCTGGGGGCCTAGGTGCAAGAAGCTGTGCTGCCATCCTGAAAGCACATGGTTCAAAGCCACCAGCTGCTCTACGGAAGAAGGATGGACAACCTCCTCCTATGTGATTAACTGCATCAGAAAACCTGCTGGAGGGTCAGCAATGGGTTGGTTCTAACTCTATGGTACAACAACAATTACAGTAAAAATTTAGGAAACTCTGCTGGCTATTCTGTAGGGAGTTGCACTACTGACCCAAAGTCCATGTTTCTCTGGTGGTTCAAATTTGCCCTTGACTTTGTAGGAGAAAGATGAACAATCTCCTGCTCTGCAATTCATGACTTCCCCAAAACATGCTGGGTGGTCAGCTATGATTTGGTTCCTACTGATGGCAATGAGAGAGAAAAGTAAAAATCTAGATTGCCTTAAAGAGATTGTCAGTAGAGTTTGAATATCAAAGGTAGTACTGTTGAGGGCTCAGAGGTACTTGAAATAAGCAACACTGGAGGTGACTCAGATAGAGAGACACAGCAGCAGAGAAAGGATAAAAAGAGAACAAAAAGACCAGTTCAAAATAATGCAGCAGTCAACCCAGAAGCAAGAGAGAGGAGTGCTTTCAAGCAGGGGGCTTTCTGGTGGAATGAGGTGCCTCCGGGCACTTTTCACAGGAGCTAGGTTTGCCAATCCACAGAGCCAGAGAACTGAACACCTTCAGAGAGAGGCTTACGAGAATAGTAAGGTGCCTCTGGGCACTTCTCAGAAAGCTAGAGAGCTTATGGTATTTCTGTTACGGTAGCACCAGATAACTGAGACACCTGCTTTAATTTTTTTATAACATTTTTCACCATATGACATTTATATTTTTATTTCTGCATCTGATTACTGCCTGCCTCTTCATTTGAGCTTAGGCTCCATGGGATTGGATCTCGTCTGCTCTGTTCACTTAGAATCTGCATCACTAGAGCACATTGGCGTTAGTGCTCAACACAGAGTTGCTGAATGAAATAATGAATGACTGCTAGTAGAGGCTGACAGCCCTGGAGACTGTAATGAGTCTGCTACTCATGTTTGGAGTATTCTTCCTCAGTACTCTGAAACTATTTGCAGGCCAAGCATTCAGTGAAGATTCTTACCCTATCAATATGGAAGCAGGAGCCGTAATTTGTACAGAAGTTGCATTGGTGGTTCCGTTGAGGGATTCTGTATTTACAATAAAAAACTTTACAGTTGGATTCACAGCCCCAGCCTAGGAAAAAGTAATTTTACGATTAATGCTAATAAAATTATGGCAAAGTAATAATGTTGTGAATTATACTCATAAACTTTAGCAACAAGAGAAGTTAAACAATTTTTAAGAATCTAAACAAAATGCATATGAGAATGGAGAAATAAAATCTTTTCACACTCAGGAAGAAAAATACGTATTACTTAAAAGTGCAAACCATTCTTTTTTAAGTAATGAATGTTCATATTTTTGTACTTCACACAAACCTTGTGAAATAAATTCTATTATTTTTCAAGTATAGCAAATAAGAAGTCTTTGATGGCTGGTCACTCTGTCGAACCTTGGGTTCAGACCAGGTTACAATCTGCCAGGAAAATGAGTTTATCTGAACCAAAGATCAATGATTCTAGCTATGAAGTTGTAATTGTTACTCCAAGTTCAGGATCACCATGTTAGAGTTTTATAGTCAATGATACGACAAAATTCTGTCTGCAGCTTTAAAATCCTGCCTGAATGTGACTGAACATAAACCATCTATAAAAATCTTTAAAAGTATATATTTAATTTAATATGCAATAATTACTTTCTATTTTAAATTATATATAGTTAAAAGCGTTTTTTTCTAGATTTTTGTCATAGTAAATCTTCAAATGACAGATTAGTTTCAAACAATATGGTATTTTCAGTAGAACATTTTATGTGTTTTGTTTTGTTTTCTGCCAGTTTTACTCTTTAAGAAATACATTCCACTTACAAAACATATCCCCATATTTAGTCTGATTTTTTTTCACTTCCAATGTCTTCCTAAAATGGCAACTCCTCATAAAGCAAATTGAGTGAGTTGATAAAAAAAGATAGATTCTTCCTACTAACTTTCTTACAGCAAAAAACGTTTTATTATTATAGCGTTCATAGTATGCAACATATTGGGTTGTCAACTGAAAACTTGGGGGCTCACTTTGAGTCCACTAGCCGCTCCAGTGGAGAAAGACGGGAAGTCTCGTCCTACAAATATTTACAACCTCAGAAACCAGATGGAGGGTTGCTATGAGGGTCCCTCCAAAATATCTTTTTTGTCTGGCACTACTTAATGAAGCTCTTCAATTTTAAGAAATATGCACCCTTGATTTAGGAAATAGCCTCAAACATCAAGACATAACACTATTATTCCCTATGGAGGACCTAAAAAATTTACATTAGTGTTTATACAACTAATCCAGAGGGGTTTCCTCTTAGGCAATTCAAATTCACTAGAGGCTCTGGGGGAGAAAGACGGGCAACCACTTTTCATTTTCTTTGTTGTGGTTGTTATGTGCTGTCGAGTTGCCTGTGACTCATAGCGACCCTATGTACAACAGCCCTAAACTCTGCACTATCTTGTGCCAATCTCACCATCTCCGACACACCTACCCCCATTACCCCAGTCACTGAATCAATCCATCTCATCGAAGGTCTTCCTTTCCTGCGCTGTTCCTCCACCATCCCAAACATGGCGTCCCTCTCCAAGGACTGGTCCCTCCTTGCAACACGTCCAAAGTATGTCAGACGAAGCTTCAGAATCCTTGCCTCCGTTTTATTTATAGAGTACAAAAATTTGCTGGAGGGTCAGCTATCAATTGGTTCAGACTAGATGGCAGTGCTAATTAGCAATACAATCTGATTTACAACTAAGCTTTTCAACTTCATCTAGGGCACATTCCACCTAGTGCAAATGAGATGAGCTCCTGATTCAATTACAGCCTCTGTTTTCCTTCGTTCAAATATTTGTATTCCCCCTACCTCTTTCAAAAACATTTCTCCCATCTTTTTCTGCTTGTCATTCCTCAAAGTTTTTGGAGAAATTACAAAACCTTAAATCACACTCTTTCCTGGGATAATAAAAATACTTTAAAATTGCCAGATGCTGTTGACTTCAGCAAGAGTAATCACAGCAAGCTGTTGAAGAGAGACTGACAATATTTTCATTAGCAGAAAGGGTTTAAATGAAACCATTCTCCTCCCATCAAATCACTGAACCACTATGCACAGAGGAGCACAGACCTTTGGATATGGAATCTTCACCGTCTTTGGGTACTGCAGTGACTCATCAGAGTAGAAGGAGTATTCAATAAGCGGGACGCCTGTGTCGTTAAATTGGGCATATGCTAAAAAAGTGCCGTTTGGAGACCACCACAGAGCAGAGTAGGAACTGAAGACTTCCTCTGAAAAAAAAGACATAAATTGTTCTGTTACAAGAAGTAGCTGATAAATTGGCTTTGGCATTCAAAATATTGTTCTCATTAGCTTTAGTAATTATAGTAGAGTTCAACTAATGAACCACTTTGCATTTGCTGGGCTTCCAAATTCAGAGTAATACAAATGAATAAAAATAAAATCATCATGATTATATGTGGATTGTAAAAATAAGTAACCCGTTGAACCATTTTAGAATATTTTAGCACACAATATTTAATATATGCTCTACGTTTTTTTTTCTTTAGCTTATAATCCTCTAAATTTATTCCTCAAAACATACTAAAAGCAAATTTCACACAGGAGGCTGATTCTCCTTTCTAATTTTCAAATAGTCAACATGCCAGCACACTCTCCCCAACTGGGCTCAGTTTGTACTGAGCCCGCAGGGTACTGGTGGGTGGTGTGTAGCTCCAGGCTATCAAACCAATATGGTGCCCAGAGTTTACTACTGTTGGCACAAACAAGGTGTGGGAAGGATGGATTTAGTACAGCAAAGAACTCCACAAGACCCCTACTGAGAAACACCTCCTTTGCCCAGCCTAGAAGCTGAAAATTCCCTTGGAATAACACTCTTCTCTGATGTATATACTGATGGGTAAGAGAGGGTCAAAGAGAGAGGCAAAATGGAAGAAGTAGTCTTACTTTAATCCCTGACCTTGTTCTCAATCCCTGGCAAATGTAGCTCTTCCTTATGCTTTTGCAATAGGGGTCCCTGAGTGGTGCAAATGCTTAAAATACTTGCTTGCTAATGGAATGGCTAGTGGTTCAAATCCACCCAGTGATGCCTGGAAAGAAAAGATTGGTGATATACTTCTGAGAAATCAGCCAATGAGAAAATAATATGGAACAAAGATCTATTCAGACACATGGGGTCGTCATGAGTGGAAATTAAGTAGACAGCGATTAGTTATTGATTATACAAGCAATATCTACTCTTGGGCTCCTAAAATGTCAAAACCTCTTTTACCAACTGAGAATGAAAGATTCAGGTAAACAGACATTCAGGTAAAGAAAATATAGACTTAAAGTTATTAGTGCAGATTTATCCACAAATCTCATGCATTGGTTTGAATGTTAAATCAGAAACTAGAACCTTAGTGATAGGAAGTCACCTATTCCAATTATTGTTTTCGATGACTGAACCCTCTCCACGAGCTTTCTTTAAATAGTAATTTCAATCGTATAATGCTATCGTTGTTAGGTGCTGTTGAATACAACTCATAGCAACTCTGTGCACAGCCAGCCTGAACCCTGCCCTATCCTGTGCCATCCTCATCGTCTCTGACACATTTGAGCCCATTGCTAAAGCCACTCCATCTTGTTGGGGGGGGTGTCTTCTTTCCTTTTACTGACCCTCCATCTCTCCAAACATGATGCTCCTCATCTAGCCACATGTCCAAAGTATTAAAGATGAAGTTTTGTGAACTTTGTTTCCAAGATGCACTCTGGCTGCACTTTTTCCAAAACATCCGTTTATTCTTTGCCATTTCAACAGCTATTCAGTACTCTTCTCCAGCACCACAACTCAAAGGCGAAAATTCTTCTTCTGTCATCCTTATTAACTGTCCAGCTCTCTGATGCATAGCAAGTGACTGAAAAGACCATCGGTGGAATCAGGCATACCTTTGTCTTCAAACTGACATAGCACTGCTCTTCAGTATTATGGTGAGGTCCCTAACAGCAGACTTGCCCAATGCAACATGTCGCCTGATTTCCTGACTGCTGGTGCCAAAAGGGGTTGATGGTTGATTCAAGCAAGATGAAATCATTGACCTCTTCAGTCATTTCTCCACCTATCATAATGTTGACTGTTGGTCCTGTTGTGAGGACCTTTGTTTTCTTGATGATAAGATATAATCCAAACCGAAGGCTATAATCTTTGATCATCTTCTGCAAGTGTTTTCTCTTTACTTTCAGTGAGCAATGTCATGTCATCTGTATAATGCAGGTTGTTGATGAGTCGTCTTCCAATTCTCATGCCACATAATTCTTCGTAGAGTCTGGCTTCATGGATTCCTTGCTCAGTATGCAAAATGAATAGGTGTGGAGAAAGGATACAACCCTAACACACACCCTTTCTGATTTTAAACTATGTAGTATTCCCTCACTCAGTTCAGACAAGAGCTTCTTGGCCTAACTAAATTTTGTGCAAGTACAATTAAGTATTCTGAGATTCCCATTCTTCTCAATGTTAGCCATAACTGATTAAGTTGTCAAGTCAGAACTGTCCCATTGGTAACACTCCAGTAGGGTTTCAGAGGCTTTATCTTTTTTCTGTGGAGCTCCTAGGGGATTTGAACGACTTTTTGTTAACAGCACAACTCTTTATGGACTAGCCACCAGAGCTCCACACATATAAATAGTAGTAATTATCAGATGACCAGCTTATATTTAGTGAGTGTTGTTCTACTGGATAAAGAATTGTTCTGCTAATTCAAAGACAAGGGGTTTGAGTCCACCAGTTGCTCCGGAAGGGGAGTGAGCAATCTTCTCCCATGTATTTTACAGTCTCTGAAAACCTGCTGGAGGGTCAGCTATGAAATAGTTCCTACCTCAAGGCAATGAGTCAGTGTGACTTATTAGCCAGGTGACTCTAGGCAAAATACTTCCCCTCTTTAAACCTGCTTTGTCTGTATAATGACGTATTATGAAGAGTAGTTGAGAGAACAGGTTTCAGCCATGCCTGGTTCATTGTTGTTGTTGTGTGCTGTCTCTCCAGCAGGTTTGCAGAAGCTTTAAATCACATGGGAGGGGATTGTCTCTCTTTATCCTTCAGAGCGGCTGATGGATTCAAACTGCCTGCTTTTGACTTGGCAGCACAACTCTTTACCACATAGATCAGGCTGAGAAGTTGTTGTTATGTGGTGTCCAGTTGCCTGCAACTCATAGTGACATTATATACAACAGCTTTAAAGCCTGCCCTATCTTGAGCCAGTCTCATTGACTGTGACACACCTACCCCCATTGCCCCAGTTACTGTACCAAGCCATCCCATCCAGGGTCTTCCTCTCCTGCACTGTTCCTCCACCCTTCCAAGCATCATATCTTTCTCCAAGGACCAGTCTCTCTTGTCCATGTGCCCAAAACAAGTGAGATGGAGCTTCAAAATCCTAGCCTCCAAGAAGAAACTCCAAGACATACATATTTGTTTTCTTGACAGTCCATGGTATGTTCAAGTCTCTTCTCCAGCACTACAATTCAAAGACATCTATTATTCTTCTGCCATCCCTTGTCATTGTCCAGGTCTCTGATGCATTGCAAGTAATTGCAAAGACCAGGGCCTGGATTGGGTACACCTTAGTCTCTAGACTGACATCCTTGCTCATTAGCATTTTGGAGAGGTCCCTGACAACAGATTTCCCTAATGCAATTAATCTTTTGATTTCCTGACTGCTGAGCATGTTGATTGTAGAGCCCAACAAGGTAAAATTTTTAGCAACCTCAATCTCTTCTCCATCCATTGTGGTGCTGCCAGTTGACCCAGTGGTGAGAATCTTTGTCTTCTTGATCTTGCGCTTCAGTCCATATTTAAGACGACAGTCCTTAACAAGCACGTACTTCAAGTCCTCCTCAGTTTTGGCAAGCAAGGTTGTGTCATCTGCATAATGCAGATTGTTGAAGAGTCTTCCTCCGATCCTGATGCCACACTCCTCGTAAAATAAAGCCTCCAGAATTATTTGTTCTATGTGGAAATTATTGAACAATATCACTAATATCACACACTAACAAAATCCTGCTGAAGATTATCCAAAAAAGATTTGAACAGTGCATTGACAGAAAACTACCAGAAATACAAGCTGGGTTTAGAAGAGGTCGTGGCACTAGGGGCATTATTACCAATATCAGGTGTATCTTGTCAGAAAGTAGAGAGTACCAGAAGAATGCCTATCTGTTTTTCACAGACTATGCAAAGGCATTTGACATAAAATTGTGGATAACCTTGAGGAAAATGGGAATCTCAGAACACTTGGTCATGCTTATACAAAACCTATACTTGGGCCAAGAAGCAGTCCTCAGAACAGAACAAGGAATCACTGCATGGTTCAAATTCAGGAAAGAAGCATGCCAAAAATGCATCCTGTCCCCAGACCTTTTCAATCTGTATGCAGAATAGATCATTTGGGAAGCAGGGCTCTATGAGGAAGAGTGTGGCATCAAGATTGGAGGAAGACTCATTAACAACGTACAATATACACAGATGACACAACCTTGCTTGCTAAAACTGAAGAAGCCCTGAAACACTTGCTGCAAAAGGTCAAGGACTGCAGCCTTCAATATGGATTGAGGCTCAACATCAAGAAGACAAAGATTCTCACCACTGGGCCAATTGGCAGCACCATGATAGATACCGAAGAGATTGAGGTTGTTAGCAACTAGAGCTTGCTCAGAGTCAACACTCTTAACATCAGCAGTCAGGAAATCAGTAGGTGAATTGCACTGGGAAAATATCCTCTCCATAGGGCTAAAGAGCAACTATGTCAGTTTAGATACAAAGGTGCACCTAATCCAGGCTACGGTCTTCTCAATTACTCGTTATGTATTCTTCAGAGAGTTGGACAATGACTATGGATGACAGAAGAAGAATAGATGCTTTCGAGTTGTGGTGCTGGAGAAGAGTCTTGAACATACCATGTACTGCCAAGGAAACAAACAGATCTGTCTTGGAGAGGGTGAAACCAAGTCTCTCCTTTGAGGTTAGGATTTTGAAGCTCTGCCTCACTTTGGGCATGTGGCCAGGACAGATTGGTCTTTGGAGAAGGACATCATGCTCAGAATGGTGGACAGACAGTGCAGGAGAGGGAGACCCTGGATGAGATGGATTGATATAGTAACTGGGGAAATGGAGGTTAGTGTGTCAGAATTAGTGAGACTGGCTCAGGACAGGGAAGGATTTAGAGCTACTGGACAGAGGGTCGCTATACATCACAGGTGGCTCAATAGCACATAACAACAATAACATACTATC